CATTGTAAATGTCCTGTGATCGTCAGATAAGTAATACGAAAAAAAAAAACAATGTTTTTATCCAATAAATCCATTTCAATCGATTTGTTTTACATGATTTCCAAAAGAGTTAAGAGATGTATCCAACATGCAAAATCATTCAAAACGATAAATGTTCGATAACGCGCATGTGATTTTTGGTGAATACACTTGCATGACAACCATAACTTAAATAATGTTGCAATTATAATTACAATCGGGACTGTGCATACATTTCTTACCTTATGTACAAAGCACGTGTTGCATAAATATTCATTTGATATACCTGTAATAAATAGAAATAACTCGAAAAAAACAAGTCGCAGAAAGAAAAAAAATAGTGTCATAATCAAATATTTAATGAATGAATGCAGAGTGACTCAACTAGTGATTGAATACGTCATTAAAGACGATAGAACGAATATGAAGGTAAAAAAACATCTAGTAGTCACAAAATATCTCTTATTAGTAGCATTGATTCTTAGGAAATGATAGTCTTTATTCGGTGACTGATTAGATCTATCTGACGATGTGTGACATGAGTCATATAAACAGATTGGTAGAATTATTACAAGAGCATCATAGAATTATGATTGGATAGTGATGACTCATTCATCTTGATAAAAACGGTTTTTACCATTGTTTTTCTTTTGTTTCGACACAAAAAATGTAGGAGTGGAACAATTTCTTCTTCTTGCTCTTAGCACAACTCTTTCATGGATACAGTCAAATTTATCTTGAAAATGAACTATGTCGGTGTTTTGGCTCACTAGCTTATGAGGAAATCTATTGCCAAACGACAAATCTCTTCGCTATTGGCTCTCTGCTACTTATCAGAACAGTTCATCTCTCTCTCTTCTCACTTATTACATGTATCGCAGTGATGATCTGTTTTTCTTTCTTCGTTCTCAATAGTCGTATATATATATAAATCCGTATTTGTATGTTATGTAATCACTCAATAGACTTACGGATCTTGTTGCTCATGACATTTATCCAATACTAAAGTTGAAACATAGTATTTTATATATATTTTTCCAAAGCAGACTCATCATTCCATGATTAAGGTGTGCTTATAGTATTAAAACTAGGGTAAAATTCAAACTGAAACGATGATTCTCGTCATTTTCTTTCCAGTAAAAGTTGTATTCACTCCAACGACTTGAATACTATTGATTACGTTTTCTTTCTTTTTGTTTCATTGATGTTTCAGCATTTTTTTTTCGGTCAAGTTGTAGAACTCCGTCGATAAATAGAAAGAAAGTGTTTTTTTTTCAGACATTTTGGCTCGCTTTGGTGATGTTGCTGGATGTAGGGTGTGGCTGTAATTCATCTCTTCACCAATACCCACACACGCAGTCAGTCGAAAGCTTATACATTCATCAACAAATTGAATCATTCAGCCAGTTGATATGATCTTTATAGTAACTATGTATTTTCTGCTTGCTACGATGAGAAAAGACAGAAAAGCTAAACAGTCAGAATATTGGCTATTAGTCGATAAAAATAGTCGTTTATCAAGTGATCGTCCATCTCGTGTTATGCGAACCAGTCGACAACATGTTTTAATAATTATTTTTTTTTTGTTCTCATTCGTTGTCGTTGACTTTTCTTCTAAAGAAATAAATAGATTGGAATGAACAGTATTCTTTGGTATTCTTGAATGTGGGTAGGTGTGGGTCTTAGTGCATGTGTGCATGAAGAAAGATAAACCCCCACACCTACACACATGTATATCTACAATCGTTTTGCTGTTCTGTTAATTTATGACTCTATGACAGCATCAGTTTGACGCGTTCGATGACAGAGACCAGCCTTTATATTTATAGTTTTGTTGCAAAAAATTGTACGATGGCTTTGGAATTCATCTGTACGACATGTATGTTTTCATATTCAGTATTCTCTCAAATGAAATTTCATGAAATTGATCTATTATATCGTATTATTATTTTTTCATCTGTTTTTTTCTTCGTTTCGGTTTGGTTCAGTTGATTTAATGCAAAGCATTGACTGCACTGCTTATGACTGTGCACATTTAACACTTGAAAATAATTTCTTTTTCAAATTGCCGAGTAA